TTGAATAGCAACATCTATTTTTATGGCTTAGAAAAATCTTAGAAAATTACCATAGCACAGTACTACCCTAAGTAGTCTACCCTCAGATTTTTATGGCATTTGGATGAGTGGATTAGCCTACACAAAAATAACAAGCTATGGCATGATTATGAACATGAAAATACTTTGTACTGTGAAAAGTGTCAAACACCAGATGAAATATTTTTCCTATGTTCTACACAACAAATGATCACTATACAAAAAATTATCACATGCATGTTTTATACAAATTTTGCTCTCTAGCAAAAATAACAAAAATCAGTCATTAAAGGCACTTGAACTACACCTCATAATTTTTCTACAGTACATGCATGACATATATTTTTCCTAGGAAGTACATTACACAAGAAGAGTAACAAACTTGGAATCATATTTTTCTGATACATATAGGATTTACTAACCATTTTACAAGATATCAGCAATATCAAGAATTAATTAAAGATCTACAGAAAAGTATCTCAAAAATGACATTCAACATTTTTATCATGTATATCTGGTGACAAGGAACACAACAAAATTTGTTTCAACAAATTTGGAGTCAATTTGAGCAAGTTAGAAATTTCCAAAGCATTTAACAAAATTCTGAAAAGCATTTCTCAAATTCATTTTAAAATCAGCCGACAAAAAAGGCTGGGTGCACCCGGTGCAGTGCACCCAGTGGGGCTGCCAGGCGGGACCCAGTGGGTCAACCAGCCCACCACTTCAGCGATCACCGAGCCTTCATCACCATCATGGCTGGCCTCAGGCCTACTGACCTGGTGGGTGACGACCGAGAGAAGGGGAGCTCCGCCGGCGGTGCTCCGCCATGAAGCCCTTCCGGTGGCGTGGGTGGTTCCAGCGTGCACACCACGCCGAGCCGCACCGGCTGGGAGGGTGGAGGTGGCTTGGCGGCGTGACGAACCAGACGGCCGTGGCAGCGCGCTCGCCGGAGAGGAAGGAGGCGGCCAAGCTCGGCCCTTACCTCGACGACGGTGGCCGCAAGCGAAGCGCAAGCGGCGAGGAGAGGCTGGGCGGGCAAGGAGTCTGGCCGGCGGAATCGAGGAATGGAGGCGTGGAAGGGGTATGTCGTGGCGAGGCGGCAAGCGGCGCTTCGGTGTAGAGCTCCATGAACTCGAACTGGAGAAAAGGAGGAGGAATGAGGAGGAGGCAACGGGTTGGGCGGAAGAAGGCGCGCGCGTGGAGGGCGAGGCAGGTGTGTGTGTCCTGTGGCGGCGGGCGGCCGCCAATAGATGGGCGGCCACGCATGAAGGCCGCCGACGCTGGCATGGCGGTACAAGGAAAGAATAGGGCTTGGCGCACATGCAGCAGAGCGAATGTGCATGGGGCGGCAGCGACATTGAGCTGGCTCAAGCCAAGCTGGGCAAGCAAGGGCAGCAAGCAAGGCAGGCCGAATGGCTTGCTTGCCGTGGGCCGAGAAAAGGAGGCGCGCCCATGAAAGGAGAAAACATTTTTTTAATTTTCTATTTTCAAGGAAATTTCAAATAGCAGTTTTCAAATACCCTTTTGAGCAAGAAAATGACTTCTTTTGAAAATGGCCCAAAAATAAAAGTTGCTTAGAATTTAATCCTCTACAACTTTGCTTTTATGACCAAAGTCCAATTCTTGCTAGATTTTGAATTATAAAATTAAAGTCAATTTTAACTCAAAACCCTAATTTTGGAGAATTATTTTTAAAGCAAAATTTGGCAATAATTTAAATACAAACTTTGCTCCAAAAACTGTGCTAAATAATTCTAGATGATTTACAATCATAGCCAAACATGTTTTACTAACTTAGCAAGCATGATTTGGGCAAAAACAACTCTAAACAAGTGTATGCAACATTCATGTTTCGCGAGCATGTTTCATATGTTTCGAAGCAGGGTTTCAGTTATTATTTACATGACTAGGCATGTATGATTAGGATGCTTGATGATGCATAACATGCATGATTTGCAGTGCCTAAATGCTGGCCTAACACCGGGGTGTTACAGTTGTGATGTGTTGCCACCTTTTAGTAGGAGTCTTTGACAAATCAGTTTGTAATGAGCACAATTATGATGATTTAGAGCATTTGTCTGTTATTCCACCTGATGGTATTCCTGTGCTTAGCCAAGACCCACCCACACATGATGATATGCCAAGTTCCCTACCAATGCTAGTGCTGAGAACCCCACAACAAACTAACCAACCTACAGAACACGCTGGTACTGCTACACAACCCACGCATAATGAAGCTGAAGCAAAGGGGCCAAACCTTGAGCCTAACAAGGAGACAGATATATTTGACAATGAAGAGGAGTATGTTAGAGTTGACTAGTACCACCTGCACAGGCAACCACAAATGGCACTTCACATCAAGATGATGAAAATTTTGTTCCTATTCTTGCTGAAGGGTGTGTACCTCTTGAGGTAGAAGTGAATGGTGTAGATCCCCAGGAAATAAATGTTCTTCATGATCTTGAAAATTCCAATGTTTATCAAGGTGCATTGTATTCTGATGCCATAACATTCATGAAGTTGTGAGGCATTATGCTGTGAATAAAGGGTTTGAGTTTGTTGTCCTGAAGACTGTCAATGTCAGATTCATTGCCAAGTGTAAATTTGAATTTATGTTTCTTGCCCTAAGGTGCTCAATGTGGTTTACTCAGCTACACTGGTCCCTCATGTAGTAGTTGGGTGGTGGGGAATCACAACAGTAACTCATGGTGGAGCTTGTATGGGACATGGCCTATGGGGTTGGGTTCTCCATTCAAGCCTTATGCGCGCAAGATCGGGAACGGTAGCCAGATACAAACCCAACGAGATACATACATGCATGTGTTTGGGTTTACTTAGCTAGATGTACATTGATTCAACTGCCACTCTCCTCTGATATGGATACCACTTGACCTTTTGTCACTATCGAAGTAAAAATTGGAACATGATGGATGATGAGGATAATAATGGATCATGTATTCTAATTGCTTATCACATACTTGAACTTGAAATATAAAGATCCACTGCCAGTAAGCTTTTCCGTATAACCAACAAAACAAGCTAGCCAAATAGCCCCTAGCATATTGTGAGAGTCGAAGAGCCATTCCTACCTAGTCAGATAAGTCTTGCAGAGTACATTGAGTACTTATGATTTATTTCTCATGTTGCAGATGATAAAAATGAGGAGGGAGAAAATCTTCACTGTATTTCGAGCCTATTGCCACAATACGAGATGGGTACTCCTGATTGGGGAGTTCACTCGTAATGGGTGCAACGAGGACAACATTTATGACGCCTTTCATAGTTTATTTTTATGTCACCCTGTGAGATTGTGGTTGCGTGCAGAGGGGTAGAACCTTTATTTGCTATTCGTCCTGTGCACGAATTATCGAACTTGTTGCTTCCTATGAAATTATGAATCGATATTGTAATGAATTCATTGAAAATCATATGTTGTATGAACTGGCCTAATGATGTTGTAAGCTTTATTTACTATTTATGGATTTCTAGATGAAAAGTGGATCATTTTAGTTCTCCCTTGTGGTGTGCTCAATAAACAATCAGGTTTTAACTTGGTCTCTTGCGTAATTTGTGTCAAATGGTTGACAAGTATGCGTTAGATTGATTAAGGTCCTGTTTGGTATGGCTTCGGCTTCTTGCACCTCCTTGCAAGGAGCCCTGCCAAACGGGCATATAAAAACAACTCCTTGCAAGGAGTCCGGATGAGTTAGAGCCATTTTTGTATAAAGGAGTCGGAGCCGAAAATAGTGTCTTCTCCGAGCTCCTGCTCACAAACCTAATACTAATTATTATAAAATTGCCACTAGAGTCATTTTTGCTAAACGTTTTCCAAAGCGGCTCTAGCTCCACCATAGAAGTTGCTCCAGAAAAAGCTAGAGCCAGAGACCTTTTAGGAGGAGCTAGAGCCATACCAAACGGGTCCTAAATTGGTTGGTACTGGCACAATTTACCTTCATTGTGTCGTTACACACGACGTGGTGCCACGTTGAACTAAACTGCTTTGAAAAGCACCATGGGAAGAAAAACAATCAGTTTCAATAATCGCAGGAGTCAAAACATCCAATTTTCTAGTTCGAGGGGAATCAAACTATACAATAGTTGAAGAAGATAAGATAAGATCAAAGTACAACAATAACCGAAGGAGGTCAGGAGTTCCAATCTTCTTAGAACCTAATTCAACCTCCGTCTTGGACCATTCTGTCCTTTCAACCTACCACCAAGAAATAAATCCAGAAAACTTGCATATACTTGCCGAGTCTAAAATTTAAACTTGGGTTGATAGGTAGTTGAACTCGATTGGCAATTGCCAGGTTTTACCATAAGAAACCTAAGCGCAAACGGCAAACGCCTATTGCAGAGTTTTGCATGTTAGATGCATAGATCTCACCTACTTGGGCATTTTAACGGCCGCCCACTGTTGGGCGACTGTGACTAGTTTTGCCGATTCAAAGAGAATGGCGACTATTGTTATCTTATTAATAAACAGAAAATATAAGTAACCCATAAAGTGAATCCTACTTCACCCAGCCCCACGCAATAGTATGATAAAGAAAACATCAAATAGTATGACAAAGAAAACTCAGGTTACATGATTGTTTCTAATTTAGCCATGACAAACAAGTTGATCCCAAGCTCCTCAGTCAACAGTTGAAGATGTGAGAACCCTTGCAGAACTGACTTTGGATCATGGAAGCAGACTACCATTTGTGTGAAACATAACTCCGGACTAATGGAGCTTCGGTACCATGTCTACAGATGTGCAATGATTTAATCACTTCAATTTCTTACGGAAAAAAAAAATCGTTGCCTCTCTCTCCTCCACAAAGGGGAGGGCTTGACTATATTAGTTGCAGTTCATGTGTACAAAAGAATGTCGGCCTTTGCCAGCTCATACAAAACTAAAAATATGCATCCTTTGTTTCTTATGTGATTAGCATCCCTGGACAACTGACTTTTTTGGTGTGTAAGTGTGTTTGTTTCAACTAAATTGGGTCACTGCTCCTAGGTACAATCCGTACACGAAGGCTGGCAAGCATAGAGCTACAGTTACTGCCTACTCTGTTGCCGTCATCTTCATCTTCATATCCATCATTGTTCCGAGGGACATCAGCGAAATGGAAACTCAGGCCGTGCTCTAGGTCGGGATCATCATCCATGAACCTTGTCTTGGACATGGCCTGTGGGCTTGTCCAACTACCGTTAGCTCTGTTATCCTTTTGATCTCGCTCTCTGTTTCCCTCCTCTGACCCACTGTTGCTGTGATAGCTAGAATGATAGTGATTGCCAAAGTTCGGCGGTTCATGGAAATTGTCCTGTGAACCAGTAAGGTGTGCATAATTCAGTGCCCAATCACTGTGCTGGCTGGAAGAATGGGCAGATGTGTAGTGATTTGCAAAGTCTAGAGGCTCAATAAAACTGTCGCAAGGTGGCTCAGAAAATCTGTCTCGTGGATCAGTTTGGCGTGCAGAGGCCTGGGCCCACCAAGGGCAGCTTGTAGAATTATGTTCACTGTCCTGGTGCTTGAAAGTGGTACGTTGAAAGAACGCACTCGTTGTTGATGCTTCCAAGTGGCTTCGAGCTCTTTCATACAAATTAGAATCCCAGATTTGCTCCTCTTCAATATCAGTTAGTGGCTTGCTCATAGGTGGCAGCCATATATCCTCCCCCGATTCAGGGGATGCTTCATCATGGTGGGAATATGAGTCCAAATCTCTGCCTGAACGTTCAGAGTGGCATGTGTAATACCAGTCCAGGATATATGGATAAGCTCTTTGATCTGTGTCAAGCAGTCCTAATGGATTTAATAAGTTATAAATAATCCCAATGCCTGGAAAAACATCTCTGGGGCGCAGCCGATGCAAAATGTTGCCACTTTGACCTCTACTACTCGACCAGAGTTGTGAATCTTCCATTGTTTGTTGAAAAGTATATTTGCGGATTTGCTTTTCCTTGAATCTCTGGAGATTGCACAAAAACTGCTTGCCATCTGGATTTGGTTGCCATGATGTATATGTGCTTTGGAAACTGTCAACATAAAAGGGCATAGCCACTTTAGGTCAACATCTATCAAAAGTAATTTATGCAACATTCCTTCCCTTTGAAATGATTCCATAAGCCAGTTTTCCATAGCACTGTTAATGAGATTATTATGAGGACTGGAATTTATTTGTATACTCTACTAGATTCAATCACAAAGGAAACAATTAATCACTATACTTAAGGGCATATCACATCTCAGTAATAAAGGAATCATACAACTCTTGTGGACGATATTAAGCTGATCACTGAAGTGTTCCAGGGTTCTCCCTTACACTTCGAATTTTTATTAAAGATGACAGTATGATTTTGTTCATAAAATGAACCAGAATGGTTTGTGGATGTTAAGTATCCTCAGTTCCAGAATACCTATACGGATGCACAAGACAAACTGAGCCTGTTTTATTTATTATTTAAAGAGTAAAATGCACGGGTGGCCCTTAAACTTCGTCGTGCCATCAGCGAGGTCCGTTTACTGTTCAAATGCACATCTAGGTTCCTAAACTTACTAGGTGTCACTTGCGGTCCAAATTACCCTAATTAACATGTAGCATGGAGCCCAAGAGATCCACAGTTACTACTACTTGCTCATGTTTCCAGCCACTATCTAGCATATAGCATCAGGTGTCATATTTGCATGCCACATAGGCAATTTGAGCTGAGCAGAGTGATTTCAATCTCAAGTGGCACACTAAACAAGTTTAGAGACTCATGTATGAGATTAGGAACCTAAGTGGCACTGCCAGACAAGTTTAAGCTGTGCAGGCAGGCAAATTTAATGAAACGTGTAATTCCACCTACATGTGTTTCATACTTTCATTTCATTTCTTTGAGAAAATAATAACACCAAATTCAATTTATTCACAACTTGGTATTTTGACAAGCCATCTGGGATAATAAACCAAACAACAAACCACTCCCTCCGTTCCAAATTATAAGCCGTTTTGGTTTTTCTAGATACATTGCTTTTACTATACATCTAGACATAATGTATATCTAAGTGCATAGCAAAAACCATGAATCTAGAAAAGCCAAAACGTCTTATAATTTGGAATGGAGGGAGTACCAGGTAAAATAGTACAACATTTATATGGTACTAAAAAAGGATGTGTACCTTAATAATGATTTCTCCATTTTCCCTTGGGAGCTCCTCATATCTTTTAATGAATCAAGTGGTGAACCATAGTTTCTATTTCCATGTCTTCGGAGGTCAAACAAGCTTAAGCTATTGAGACAAACAGAATGAAGTTAAAAACCTTGCAAAGTAGCAAAATTAGCAGATTGTAATAATTAATAGCACAATACAAAGGCAAACCTGCAAACATCTCCCACTCCATCTACGTAAATTGTAAATTCAGAAATGAAGCACAAAATATCATTGACACGCTGTACATGGGGAAAACTCAACCATTATACAACATAATCTAGAAACAAACTTCTGTTGATGTTGCTCAAAAGTCAAAAATATTACCTTTGGAAGCACAAATATTAGCAAGTAAGGAGTGATGAAAATCGAGGCCATCTCTTCCAAAAGCATCGTTATGGTATACTGCAATTGCAACAATCAGCCATTCTTCTAAAAGATTAATTGTAACTTATACATTGGATCTCAGATAGACCACAAAAGTAATAGCCCATTACTTATAAATGCACAGCATGGGTTCCATGTAGACAGTGATTTACTGAGTTCTTTTATAAACCAAGAAGAAAAAAGAACTAAGGGGAGAGACATTCCTCAGCCATCTTAAGAGACTACTGAACCCTTTAAGTAGGTATGGTACTCCCCTCTCTTAATAAGAGACATCCAGTTCTCTACCAACCAAACTACTGCTCAGTTCTCCATTTTAAGCATAAAGGCACCAGATATCTAAATAGCTAAACACTGGTACCACTGAAATGAAGTATTCTCAGTACCACAGCAAAGATCCATTAATCCGTTATGTTGGAAGAACATTAATGTGCCAATGACATGTGGCTGCAGGCACCCACTTGAAAATCTCACATTGGATGGAATTTTTCGGTTCATCTTTGCATCTACTGTAAGCTCATTTTCTGTTATCATAAGTGCATTTGCACGATTAAGAATTAGTAATACCCAACTTCAAAACAATTAAGATTTTTTTTTTGTCAAAGGTGTGATCTAAAACTATTAAGATAATTTTTTTGGCAAAAGTGTGATCTGATCATCTGAGAAAAACTGAGGGAAGGGAATTACCTGAAATAGAGTTTCGAATTCTTTCCGCACAACTTCACTGCTCTCTTTACCACGCCATCTTTTTGGCATGTAATGTGTATGTTGGACAACAAGGGTCATGGCTCCTTCTGGGTCAATCACTTGAAGCTCATCTGCCACAACTTTACGACTTACAGTTGCTATAGTTCCAAAAACAACAGTATACCAGAAAAGGTTTCGGCCGAAAACCTTCATAAGCCATAAAAGACATGAGATTCTGAAGGTGGAAGGTATCCATTGTGTGACACTAAGGATGGTGCATGTGTGTGTTGGGGGGGGCTTACATGTCCCTCAAGAATAGATTCCCCCAGGAATCCAAGGATGAGAAGAATTCCAGCCAAGCCACCAGATACAAATGATACAAATTTTGCAACAATAGATATTAATGGAGTTGGAAACTGCTTTAAATAATTTAAAGAGCGAAGAGTGCAATTGTCCATCCTATGTCTGAAGAAATGCTCAACCTGAAATAGATAAAAGTAGCAGCATTTAGGGCAAAATGGAAAAGAAACAAGATTAGCTACATATGATCTACATGTTCTTTTGTTGGGGATCTGTCCCCCAAACACTAGGAAAATGGAAAGAATGATCACACAATCATTTGGCATTTTCTAGCAGTGCAGCAAAAGAAACCTATTTCTACCTCGTTGTACTCTCGCAAAATCCACCTTGACAAATTCGACCATCGTCGAGATGATGCTGTACTGGGATTATTGTAGAATTCTTCAGCATGTCTCAGTAACATGTATACCAATGGGAAGATGGTAAGGCAGGGTGACAGCAAAAGCATTGCAATGCCCATAAATACAAGTCGCTTTGTCAAAACAGATGGGCCTGTTAGAAAGTCTTTCCTGACACAAAATTTACTGCAAAAGAAGATGACATGAGGTTGGCATTAGAAAGAGTAAGATGGTATTTTAAAGGAATAGGATCAACAAACAACGAGTAAGAACTACACGTGAAGAGAACATTTTAAAGGAGCAGTTATGACGACAGCACTTCATGAATAAGAACAAAAACAGAAAGACCAGACTTATCATGGAAGATATAATATCAAGGTAGCAATAGTTGTTACAAAGATTGTTAAAAACTAGAATATACAATAACGAGCTTCATGGTTTCCTTCATCGATCATCTTGAAAATTTCAGGTAAACCCTATTCGCCCTGCACTGCACATAACTGAGAGCAGCACATGCAAGGCTTCACAGACATTCTATTATCACATATCACAAATGGTATTAAAGTGACACAAAGACCTCAATTTATCAACAAAGTAAAATGTATCCATCAATAAAATCTACTAGGACTGGTTTAGAATAGACTACCTACCTGGCAACAGCATTCTATTTTTGACATTACCAGAAAAAGTATGATCAATTTGACACTTGAAACATACACATTTCATTTCATATTACTTCCTTTTCCTTTCATAACTCTTACTTGTTCTAAAAAAACTAACTCGCACTGCTTAACTAATAAGTTTGAAAAAAAATACTAGCAGTGTAGTCTACTAATTATAGATATAGGGAACCAGAAAAAGGAACAAACTTCCTTACCTATCAAACATGCTATGAAAGATGCACCAATTTAATGCCCACTCTAGCGTCTTTGGAAGCATCAGATAGCTTTTCCTTCCATGGAAACGCGAACTGACAGTTGGTCCTACTCCAGGCAGCCAACAGGCAACCGGAAATGCAATAATGCCTTTATTGACCATCCCAATTAAATAGTTCTGTTTCCGCATTAATCTCATGATAATATCATGCTCTGAAAGATCCTTAACAACGCAAAGTTGTTGTGACTTCTGAAGGAGGACAACCTTCTCAACTACTTTGGGCCATGATATAGTTTGAATCTCCAGATCTGTGACCTTAAGACTGCAAAATGAAGTAACAGAAACAAAATGATACATCATTTTTCTGTCAAAGAAATGTTTACCAATGTGTGGAACACATGAAATTGAAATATTACCTGTTATAGTAGAAGTCACGAACATTGAGTATGCTTCTCAATTTTACAAAGAACTTGATTAAGTTAATAATTCCATATGTCGTCAATATAACCATTGATCCAGTAGTGATAATCTTCACATATGTGAACGGAACTAATGGGTCATTCTTGATGACATTCATTAGGTCACATGGTTTATCACCTATCTCAAGTGCTTCCACTCCACATTTCAAATGGCCAAGGGCATCCCAGTCAACAAACAAGAAGAAGAAACCAATAGCACATACCATAAATGTAACATTAAGGATCTCGATTATCCACTTGGTGATAATGCATCTTAAACCCTTTTCACAGAAATATTCATACAGTCTCTCAAAGAAAATATCCAAATCAGGAATCAGCTCAGCCTTGAAGTCCTCCCCATGGAGAAGTCCTGTTGGGCTCTCACAATCAGAGCTTGGTAGTCTCTGGTAGTCCGATAACTCTACTTCAGGCGGAATTTCAGCAAGCAGATGTGTTGAAAGTGTTGATTCTCTTCTCAATGGCCACTTGAATAATCTTTTAATATTTGTGCCCTTCAGAAAGAAGGACATCATATATGGAAACAGAACCCAAGACAAGCTGAAGGCTTCCTTGCCATGCCACTGCTGATCACCTGGTTGATAAAGTTTTTTCTTTAAATGATTCATTCATCATATTCATATACATTGCAACAGACATTCTGATTAAAACATCCAACAAGAAATTACCATCTATCAACCAGAAAAGGAAAAGCATCCAGTCTCATCCATAAAAAGCAACAACTATATGAATATTTCAATTAACCAAAAACTATGCTTTTGTGCATCCTATTTAGGAATGATAGAAAAGTAGGTATCGGGTATGTCCGGACGCGGCTGAAAGCTGCAGCAGCTGCACCGATTCTACCTCAAACTACAGCATTTTGCAGCTGTAATAAAATCTGATGCACCTGCTGCAGCGAACAGGCCCATCACAACACTGAATTTGTTTTCTAGTCCTGGAACGAAGACCCAATTATAGAAAGTTTAAGCCCCTGCTGCATCATGCACTAGTTGTAAAGTGTAAACTAGGCTTACTCGAAATCCACAAAGCATCAAATCAACTCGAAGTCAAAGCTTTATAATTTTTCCAAGGTTGTCCTCGGCAGGGGCGGGCCCAGTAAAGGACAATGGGTGTGCACATGTACACCCGAAAATTTTTACAAACAAAATCGAAGGTAGTGGCAGAATATATGTATGACTGTAGTTAGATCAGATTCGAATAGAGGTAACCAAACAGCCCAAGTTAGGGTTTGGGTGCTCGGTTTCGCACAGAAGGAAGAGAAGAGACGGGGGTGGGCATACCTGGTGTGCTCGTTCGCTGGCGAAGGGGGAAGAAATCCTGGGCACCTGGCGAAGGGCGGCGGCGGCCGCAGTGCCGTCGCCTCGAGAGAGAGCACGCGGCGAGAAGGCAGAAGGCAGGGGTGAAGACAGTCCGGGGGCTCTGGCGGTTAGCCGGTTAGCGGTTAGGCCTCAGGCATCCAAAACAGATCGTTAATTATAAGTTAATAATTAATTAATAAACGATCAAATATCAAAGTCGCGTCAGGTTTGGGTTGGGTTTTTGAATAACCCGAAAAAGTTCTTTCGACGGTCGGAAGTCCGAACCCGACACCGCCCCCAAATTTTAGACCCACCGGGCACCAGTAGACTGTAGAGGAATCGGGATGTTTTTCGACTAGTCTGAGTTTATAAGGGTCTTTGGCATGGCTTATGGTAGATTCGGCTTCAATCTACGAATCGGGAATTGTCGCTTTTATTTTTTCGAACTAGGAAAAAATTAGTTTACAGCTTTCAAATTAAATATGTTCGTGCGTAACAGTACGTATAGATGCTATCATCTTTTCTGATACATCTTAAAATCCTATTATGTAGGCAAAATTTGCTCTTGACGTTAAAAGTGACCTCTTTTTGTAAACGGGCAACAAAATAAAACGATTTGTTATTTTTTTTTTTTCTAAATTTGACGGAGGACCTCAAACATATTCAAATATTTATTTCTGGCTGGGAGGTGCAGGAGGAGCGGTAAAATGTCTTTTTTTTTTTTTTTTTGTCTCTGCCTATTTCTTCTTCCTTCCTCTGTCCCTGTTCTCCCCCGACGGCAGGGGGGCTCGCCCACCCTTCGCTGGGACATGGACCCATTCCTTGTCGACGCGGCTGCGGATCCTCGCCGTCCTCGGCGTGGCAGCGTCCGCCGGATGAAGCAGTACGAGTGCCTGACCAACCACTCCGTCGTGGCGTCCGCCGTGTTTGTCCCGTTCGACGCCGGCTTCGACTTCGCCCGCTACAATTGGGGCTACGACAACACCACCAGGGACGCCAGATCGGTGGACCTGATAGAGTGGCTCATGGCACGGCCCCAGTTGCGGCGGATGTGGGGCCATGACCACTTCCCCGTCGCGGGGAGAACGGGGTGGGACTTCCGATGAGCATCCGGATGACCAGATCCAGGATCACGTCACCGAGCATGGCAAGGCTTCCAGCGCCTGCGCCATGCTGGGATGCGCTTGCACCCTGGGCAGACCGCAGTGCCACTCCCCCGCCAACATCATGCGGTTATTCCAGAAGGTCGTCTTCTACCTGCAGCCGCTTCCCGCTGGGCGACTCGTGCACGCGGCAATCGGTGTTCGACTCCGTGGTGCCCAGCTGCATCCCGGTGTTCTTCCACACGGGGGCCGCGTACGAGCAGTACCCGTGACAACGGCCAGCCGCACCGGGGCCGCCACGGCGCGGTCTCGGCCCGGCTGCGCGGCGAGCTGCGAGAACCCCGCACGGAAAGCGGTCTGCGTCGCCATGGCAAGGTGGGAAGGCTGCTGCTGCTCGATTCGGCCAGTGGCGCGCCTCGTCCACCCCTGCCTCTTCCACCTCACGCCTTAGTCTCCTCGTCCACCGCTGCAAGGGCTCCTCGCAGAGACTCACCGCTCCTGTCGCCGAGGGAGAAGAACAGGGACAGAGGAAGAAGAAATAGTCAGAGGGCAAAAAGGACATTTCATCGCTCACCTCTCATTTTCCGAGCCAGAAATGAATATTTTAATGTATTAAGTGTCCTGTGGCAAATTTGACAATAACGAAAGTGTCCACCAACAAATCGCTCTATTTGTTTTGTCCGCTAAAAAAGAAGGTCACTTTCAGTGTTAGGAACAAATTTTGCCTATTATGTATGGTAGCAAAATGCACACTATTCTATCTAACTTGTATGACAACGATTATGGGTTCGGATCATGAATGAGACGGTAAATATGTAGAACTATTATCTTTAATTCATCATGTACTATAACTTTTAGTAAAACCAACCATGAAATATACACTCACGAGAGTGGAGGCACAAATAGACAGAAAAAGAGTGACTCACTGGAGGTGGGATTTAGACTGTGCTATGTCAAACTAGAGGTGGGACTTAGACCTTGCCATGCATCGGTGACTCACCAGAGGTGAGACTGTAGAATTTGCTCGCCAAACTTTTGGCATTTTTTAGTTATTTTTTTAAATTGAACTACCACATGCATCATCGCAAAATTTGATGTGCGAATCTTGAAAGAAGTGATTTGGGTTAATCTAAACAGCCTTCGACCGTAAGTGCGTCAAACTAATTTACTTATGTCAAGAGACTAATTTAGAGTAAAAGTGAGTTATCAAACTTTTGGGTATTTTAGGAACGGTTCCTCATCTACGTCACCGTGATCATGACTGCGCACTAAATTTTTCCCGTTTCAATCCTCGTGGGGATTAAGGGCGTGACTGGACGAGGGAAGGAGCCCCAACCTGGCCCATGGGATGCAGGTGTGCACCGTTTGGTTGGTTGCACGGGACCTTCAGCCTGGCCCGACCAGTGCAAAGGCACCCACCCAGCCAGGCTGCCTGACGGAAACGAAATTTTCCCGTTTCAATCCTCGTGGGGATTAAGGGTGTGATTGGTTGAGGGAAGGAGCCCCAACCTGGCCCATGGGATGTAGATGTGCACCGTTTGGTTGGCTGCACGGGACCTTCAGCCTGGCCCGACCAGTGCAAAGGCACCCACCCAGCCTGGCTGCCAGGAAACGAAATCCGAGTTCGTTCCTGGCGAGCCTGGCTCCAGCGCTGCAGAGAGCACGCACGCGAGGAACGGGCGCAGAGAGTAGCGATGCAAGACAAGCGAGAACCAAACAATTTCCTCACGGACCTGGCTATAGCGAAGCAAGCAACCAATCGAGTCTGACTCGCATGCGCTGAGCCTGGTGCTGACAAGACTGGCCCGACGGATGGCCCTGTTTAGTTTTCAAATCGGAACCAATCACAGTAAAAAGGGCTGTTTGGGACTGTTTCCACAAACTTTGTTCCACAACTCCGTACCTGTAAATATAGTTTGTATAAAGGTGCTTCTCTCACAATTACACTTTTTTTCTCAGCAAAATTACGAGATAAAATGTTTTTAAACCTAATTAGTGTTTGAAAACGCGAATGGAGCGAGCGAAAAATCTCTAAATCGCCTCCATCCTTTTCCGTAGTGGCTAATTCTCGATTAATCAGCCCTTGTTTAGATTGAAGTTTTAGTCTCTTCTAATCAAATCTATAATTTATTTTTATTAAGTATCAAAAATGTAGATAAAAATAATTACCGACATGATTGTAAATTACACCCAAAAAATTTTTACCTCCTCAACTAAACACACCCTGAGACGAGCCTGCATCAGAACCAATCACGCCTTAAATTGCCTCCATCCCTATCCCATCTCTATCCCTTAGTAGGGGAATTCTCCGTACGGAATCATCGGGGATCGGGTCCCCATTAACCTCTCTACCCACAGACATCTCTCTCTCAGTCTCTCTCACTCACTCTCACCCCCATTGACTCTCCACCGACATGCTCATGCAGTTATGCTCCTCTCTTCACCTCCAGCCAGGTGGGTCCCACTGGTGCTTTAGGGAAAGAGGAGGACAAAATTGTATTTCAGAACCCATCCAGTAGTCAGATCATGGACAACCCGCAAGTGTGGTACGTAAATAAAGGAACAAAAAGATTGAAAGTAGTTGCCACGAAGAGGGCTAGAAGCTTTCTAGTGATAAATAAATTGATAGTTTCGCGCACGAGGAACTGTTCGAAGGAATATTAGGTGTGTTTGAAAGCTCTTGTTGGATCGGACTTCTGGAGTTCTGTACGATACGGTCAACCATTGTTGAAAGCAATGTACCAACTCCCGCAGCTAGTCGGAGCGCGCACTCAACTGGCACAACACCTAAATGCTAACTCAAACGTACGCGCAATGTATACCGTGCTATCGTAACTCAGCAAAGCATCTCAATGGCCGCCGAAGCGCAACCGCGGCTCCTAGTCCTCCTGCTCGCCTGGCCCTGCCTCTTCGTCGGCTCGCTGGCGTGTGGAGCTGCAGCTGCCGACCTGCTCCACCCGGTCGTCCTGCTGCCCGGATACAGCTGCAGCCAGCTCGACGCGCGGCTCACCCACGAGTTCGAGCCCTCCACGGCGCCGAGCTGCGGCGCGCGCAAGGGGAAGGGCTGGTTCCGGCTGTGGAAGAACTACACGGCGCTGCAGGAGGACCCTGCACTGGTGCCGTGCTACGCCGAGCTGCTGCGGCTGGTGTACGACCCTGTCGCCGGCGATTACCGCGACGTGCCCGGCGTCGAGACCCGCGTCGTGGCCTTCGGCACCACGCGGGGGTTCGGCTCCGATGATCCTGCCACCAAGTAAGATATATAACTTGTTGCGTGAAACGTTATATTTCAAGTTAACCAAGTGAAAAAAAAATCCACCTTATCTTGTTGTGCTGCTACACTCGCTGGCCGGCCAGGAACACCTGCATGGAAAAACTCGTTCAGGCACTGGAAGGAGTCGGATACAGAGAAGGCGAGAACCTCTTCGGCGCGCCGTACGACTTCCGATACGCGCCGGCGCCGCCCGGCCAGGCGTCCAGGGAGTTCTCCCGCTTCCTCTCCAAGCTACGGGTGCTCGTGGAGCAGGCAAGCGAGAGGAACGGGAACATGCCGGTCATCCTCGTGACGCACAGCCTCGGCGGCATCAACGCCAACGTCTTCCTCAGCCGGAGCCCCCTGGCGTGGCGCAGGAGGTACGTCAAGCACTTCGTCATGGTCTCCACCGGCGCTGGCGGCGGCGTGTTCCTGCTGCAGTTCGGCGGTTCGAAGCCGCCGTCGCCGCCGCCGACGGACCCGCTGTCGTTCCCCAAGCTGAACTTCGCCACCGCGTTCTCGGCCCTGCCGTCCCCCAAGGTGTTCGGGCACGCGCCGCTGGTGGTCACGCGTGCCAAGAACTACTCCGCCTACGACATCCCAGAGTATCTCAAGGCCAATGGGTTCTCTGACGACGAGGTGGCGCGCTACGTGACGAGGGTGCTGCCGGTCACGCTGCGCTTCGGTGCGCCGGGCGTGCCGGTGACCTGCATCAACGGTATCGGCGTGGCGACGGTGGAGAGGCTGGTGTACTGGGACGGCGACTTCGGTGCGAAGCCTCAAGTGGTTTACGGCGACGGCGACGGGGCCATCAACATAGCGAGCATGTTGGCGTTGGACACATTGATCGGGGCTCAACCGGAGCAGGATTACTTCAAGTCGATCCTGATTCACAACACGAGTCACGGTGGCACCATCTCGGATGATTTTGCCCTCAGGCGTGTGGTCAAAGAGGTTCTTGATCCCAATGGAAATAGCATGAACGATGTTAATAAGAAACAACAATGTTGAAAGAAACAAGTCAAACTTGTCATAAACGTCGTCGTGGTGCATAGAAAAAAGTTAGAATGATCTTAAAGCTTGACTTTAAGAAAGCCTATAATAACAAGATTAAATGGTCTTTTCTGCAACAAACTTTAAGAAAGAAAGTTTTTTCACTTGTGTGGTGCCATTGGAGTCATAAGATTGTGAGGGGTAGGTAGTGCCAACATTAAAGTAAATAATGATGTGAGACATTTCTTCCAAACCCGGAAATAATTAAGACAGGGAGATCCTTTGTCCCCTATCCTTTTTAATCTGGTGGCAGATATGCTAGCAACTTTGATTGTTCGAGCTAAGACTAATGGACATGTCAAGGGTGTTGTTCCACATTTGGTTGGCGATGGCCTTTCAATTATGCAATATGTGGATGACACCATTTTGTTCGTGGACCATGATATGCTTTAGGCCAAAAAACTAAAGCTTGCGCTTAGTACCTTTGAGCAAATATCGGAATTGAAAAATAATTTCCATAAAAGTGAGCTTTTCTGCTATGGCGCGGCCAAGGATTGTGAAATGGAATATACACATTTGTTTGGATGTCGGTTATGTGATTTCCCTTTCAAATATCTTGGAATTCCTATGAATCTTGGATTGGGCATGCATCGAGGAGAGGTTCAGAAAAAACTCATTAGCTGAAAAGATAAATTACTTTCAATTGGTGGGCGACTTATTCTTATCAATTAGGTGCTAACTAGTTTAGCCATGTTTATGCTATTCTTTTCTGAAGTCCCTAGAGGAGTTCTTCAAAAATTGGATTACTATCTCTCCCGCTTTTTCTGGCAATGTGATGAACATAAGAAAAATATTGTCTAGCTAAGTGGAGTGTTTTCTGTACACCGAAAGATTTTGGTGGGCTAGGAATACTTAATCTCGAATGTCAAAATAGATGCCTTTTGAGCAAATGGTTGTTTAGATTGATCAATGAGGATGGGGTTTAACAGAACTTCTATGAAGGAAATATATGTCCAACAAATTTCTTACTCAAGTGCAACATAGGCCTGGGGATTCTCATTTCTGGGCCGGCCTAATGAAAGCCAAGGTGGAATTTCTAGCTTGCGGCACTTTTAAGGTGCAGAGTGGGAACATGTGAGATTTTGGGAGGATGTGTAGTTAGGAGACAAACCTCTTAGAGAGGTTTACCCTAATCTCTACCACTAATAATGCACCGGTTGTGATTTTTTCTAAAACCACACTAAAAATTGTCCACCGCAGTCATGAACTATCCTACATGCACCCAAAAATACACCCAGAGTTAACCAATCTTTAAAACGAAGGGACGAGATCCACCCTAACCTCTCTTTTCTCTCAGTCACTCAAATCCATCGGACCAGCTCGCCTGGACCAAACCTCATCACTCATCCAGTCATCCCTCCTTCCACGCGCGCGAGGTGCGAGGCGCGACTCCCCTCTCCCCGATGCTGACTCTCGCTCTCCCCGACTCCCTCTTTCCCGTACGATCGGTCCAAGGCCGCACGCTGCCAGGGCTGCACACACGACTCCTCCACTCCCTCGTGGATCTCCCATCTCATGGCTAGGCTCATCGAGAGAGGGCGTCAGGGCGAATCCAGCGGCGGTGGCTCCTGCCCACGGTTCTCGGTGCATGCAGAGCTGCGGCGGTGCCTGGCTGCGGGGTGTTAGGTTGATCTCCACCAAATTGGCCCAACGGCTAATTGGGCCCTTGACTCGCGCCCTGATCGGGGGCACCCAGCCGCTCTCCTGGCTGGTGGGCGCCTGTCGCACAGCGCTATGTAAAGGAGGTGGGAGCTGGGGCTCGAAACACGAGGTTCACTGCAGCCGCCAGTTCCCCACCGAGTCTAACCCTAGTCTGATCTAGAGGGAGCACTGTGAGCGACGAAAAGCTCCACTAGCCTTCATCGCCGCCATTGGACCACACCACCACTACGATGCTACCTCTACTCCGACACTAGAGGCACGTCGCGCCGTGCCTTGTCGAGGTACATCATCAAGTTTCTCATCTAAGTTGAGTTTACCCGCTAGATCTACGCCTAGAGGTCCTAATATTTTCTATCAATGGTATCAGAGAAAGGTTTCTAGTATGTAGATCTAGACTGGGTTCAAAAAGTGAAAAGAAATCAAGAAGGAGATGAATCGGATGAACCCAAACCCTAACCCAAACCCGAACCCTAGATGGATGGACGGAGAAAGGGGAGGACCTACCCGGTTCCTCGCCGCCGTCGCTACCGCCACATGCGGGAAGAAGCAGCCGAGCTGCACTCGTCGCAGTGCGCATGAGCCCTGGCCGAGGGCACCGTCACAGGACCGCTCGATGGCAGCGTGCTCACCCATTGGGGAGCACGTGCTCCGACGAGGGGACCCACGGCGGTGGCACCCTTCTTCTCCTGCGTCTGCTGCTTTGAGGGCTAACAAAGGAGAAAGGGATCTAGGGTTTAGGGAAGAGCATGTGTGGGGGCGCAAAGTGCACCACCATGGTGCCGCTGACGGTGCCGCGCGCGGCTTCGGCTGCACGCGTGCACCGACGAAGGGCGCCACGGTGGCGCCATCACTCTTCTCTCTAGCCACCATGTTTCGGGTGAGAAGGGGAGAGCAAGCCGACGGTTGCGGCGAGGAGAGAGAAGCAGGGATTAGGGTTCTAGGAGCGGAGCCACGCGGGGTTAAGGGCAACGTCGCAAGGCCGCTCGACGGTGGCACGCTTAGCCTCGGGCGAGCGCGTTCACTGGTGAGGGGCCCGCGGCGGCGCCACCACTCTTTTCCTCTGGTCGCCACGGGCGTTCGCCGGTGGCTCTCTGTCCCAACGCGGTGTAGAGAGAGAAGGGGGAGGAGACAAATGAAGCTACGGTTTGGGCGAACCGACGCGACAGTGATTTTTATTCCGCTGAGATCGTCGCTCGACCGTCCGATCAATACAGCCTAGGCGGGTGAGGCAAATCCCGGCCCAGGCCCAGGTTATGGCCTGGGCGCGGGCGAGCGCGGGGCGAGTGGCCGTCGCGGGCCGACTTTTCCTACTAGGCCGCGGCAAAGCGCTACAGCGCGCTAGGCCGAGCGCGGGCGCGTGGGCATGATTTCGCAAATGGGCCGCATACTATTTCTCCAGGCTAGGCTGAATGCATTGTACCGATCATAATTAGTTTATTTATTTTCAGAAGTGAATTTTGATTAGTTTTTCATCTCTATTCAATTTTGAACCAACATGATAAATTATTTAGAGAGTAGATAAGTACACTGTAAAATGCTTCTGAAAAGTAGATAATTTTTTTTCATGTTTCCGCTGCATAGTTTAATGCTGATTATCTTCTAATTAAATTTGAACCAACGGGAGAATTTAATTTGAAGAGCAGTTACTTTTTGTAAATTATGATTATGTTTATCCTCTAATTAAATTGGAACCAACGGAAAAATTTAAATTAGAGGAGTAGTCCGATTTGTTTATGTTAAATTATGGTATTGTTATTTTCTAACCAACGTTGATGATAATAATATTATATTGAGTTTAAGGTTGAAGTTTAAATCTCTGATAAATCTTACACCAACATAGTCAATTTGTCGGAGAGTAGATAAAGACAAAGAAATGCTCCTGAACAAATAGAATGTATTTTATTATCGTGTTTCCGCTGCAATGAAGTTGTTTATCTTCTAATTAAATTCAAACCAATGAGATAATTTAATTTTGAAGAGTAGTTGTATGTCTTTCAAGTTTATTTATGAGTTTTATGTATTAATTCTATTTTTTGCCCAACGGTGATGTAGAATTGATGTAGAAGCATCTTGTTTGTTTTAATTCGATGAGATCACTCGGCTGCATGTCAACGAGCTGCAATGCTGGGGTATGTGAATGAAAACGCTTGAGTTAATCCAGTTCAGGACTGTTAACTAATTTTTTAATTAAATTGAAACCAATAGAAAGATTTAATTGAAAAATAAAGTATAAGTGAATGTTTTAGTTGTCATGACTAAGTTTTTGTTACAGTAAATTGTGTATAGATTTATCCCGCATGGGGAGAAATTTTGGCATAGTACTTATGCTAGTCAATCCTGCATGGTAGGAGAAGTTTTGTGATGATTCACATGTTTTGTATCTCACATAGCGAGAAAAGTTTAGGTAGCTCTTATGCTGTCCTAGTATTGACCGTGGCATAATAGAAATACATCGTCATGGTCAATACTAACCATAAGATAAGAAAAGATGCAAGTGTGACTTGCAAAAGTACTGCTAATGAAAGACCTCATTGAGTTCTTAAAGTGAAATAAGGAAAGTGTACTCCTAAACGGATTAAGAAATAACTTTGTTTACATAACATAATCATGTGAATAAAGTAAGTTATAAGTGTCTCCTCGTTCACAGGTTTTCTGAATAGTTTTTGAAATTATGGCAGTAAAGTTCATGTCATATTTCGAGGGGGAGAATATTAAGATCAATTAAGAAAAATACTCTTCATTAAGAGTGAGATAAAGATTAATTAAGATGAATACGACCGTTGGAGGAGTACAACGATCACAACAATGATACCCCTAAGCAGAGAAATAGCTAAATTTCTGGACCTTTTAAAGTTTCAACGGGAAGATAGCGTAGTCAGGCTCAAAGATGTTGAGGTGGTGCTTAAAGCATCATATGAGATTTTAACAGATTAAACCCAAAATAAGATATTTGAAGATACGCTATCTTTAGAAAAGATGGGAAGATCTGGGGGAGCATGGTTTGTAGAGGTATGTAGAGACCTAAGACTTTCCCTGTCAAGCATCTATACAAGGACTATGGTCTCATGAAGCAGTTCTTGTCCGGAGGCTCCAACAAGGGGAGCATAGAAAGGACCCCAAGCCTTCCATGGATGATGCCGAGGGGAAGGACGACAGCTTTCTGATGCTGGATGGCTGCCTCATGATCTTTAGAGGGTCGACGGCCTATGACTCTAAGCATCACAGAAGCTCGCGCGCCATGAGGTCTATACGGCCGAGCCAGCCGCACCTACCTTCCTCCGATGGTCGGAGTCCGC